ATCATCGACATCAACAACATTACCTTGGCCTCTAGCACCACTGTCAGGAATCTTGGAGTTATCTTTGATCAGGATTTGTCATTTAACTCCCACATAAAGCAGACCTCTAGGACTGCCTTCTTTCATTTACGTAATATTAGAAAAATTAGACACATCCTATCACAGACAGATGCAGAAAAACTAATCCATGCATTTGTTACTTCAAGGCTGGATTACTGCAACTCTTTATTATCAGGTTGCCCCAATAAGTCCATTAAAACACTCCAATTAATTCAGAACGCTGCAGCACGAGTACTGACAGGAACTAGAAAAAGAGATCACATCTCTCCTGTACTAGCTTCTCTGCATTGGCTCCCTGTAAAATGTAGAATTGAATTTAAAATCCTCCTCCTCACCTATAAAGCTCTTCATGGTCAGGCCCCTTCATATCTTAAAGAGCTCATAGTACCCTATTACCCCTCTAGAACACTACGTTCTCTGAATGCTGGGCTACTTGTGGTTCCTATAGTCTCTAAAAAGTAGAACAGGAGCCAGAGCCTTCAGTTACCAAGCTCCTCTCCTGTGGAACCAGCTTCCAGTTGTGGTTCTGGAGGCAGACACCCTCACCACATTCAAGAGTAGGCTTAAGACATTCCTCTTTGATAAAGCTTATAGTTAGGGCTGGATCAGGTGAGTCCTGAACCATCCCTTAGTTATGCTGCTATAGGCCTAGACTATCGGGGGATTTCCCATGGTGCACTGAGCTCCTCTCTTCCTCTCTCTTTCTGCACTCATTCATGTTCCATTAATGCATGTTACTAACTCCACTTCTTCCCCGGAGTTCTTGTGCTTTCTCGTCTCGCAGGTTCTTGTCGATCCTGGTGGAGCCTCCTGCCATGGTCCTGCTAGATTGCCATTGCCAATACTGTTGTTGTTGTGCACCTGTCTGTCTGTCTGTCTGTCTGTGTGTCTCTCTCTCTCTCTCTCTCTCCCTCCCCCCAACTGGTCGAGACAGACGACCACCCACCTAGAGCCGGAGGATCTGTCCTAGGTTTCTGCCTTTTAACAGGCAGTGTTTCCTTGCCCTTGTCTCCAAGGTCTTGCTCATGGTGGTACTGTTGGGTCTCTGTAATTAATGTTTTAAAGAGTTCGGTCTAGACCTGCTCTATTTGAAAAGTGTCCTGAGATAACTTCTGTTATGAATTGGCGCTATACAAATAAAATTGAATTGAATTGAACATCCAAATCAACATCAACAACAACATCCAAATCAACATCATCAACAACATCCAAATCAACATCAACAACAACTTCATCAACTTCATCAACAACATCAAAATCAACATCAACATCCAAATCAACATCAACATCAAAATCAACAACATCATCAACATCAACATAATCAACAACATCAAAAACAACATCCAAATCAACATCAACATCAAAATCAACAACATCATCATTATCATCATCATCAACATCAACAACATCCAAATCAACATCAACAACAACATCTAAATCAACTAGTGCTGTCAGCGTCAATTTTTTTATCTTTGTAGTTTTTTCCACATGCTGTTGCAACAACTTGTAATGTTAGAAAAACTACAACACCACACCGGATCTAGCTAGACCGGAAACAAAACAACAGGCACGCCGCACACACTTGTTTAAGAGTAGTAGACGTTACGTTTTGAGTGGATGGCGAGACGCCGAAATGGATGCCAATAATATTCAGAATGGAAAGTTTACTTTTAAAAAGTTGCCAAATGGTTCCATTGACAAGACCAAAGTGATCTGTGTGTTCTGTCGTTGTGAACTGAGCTATCATCGCAGCACGTCCAGTCTGAAATACCACTTGATGGCCAAACACACAGCTGATGGGAATTCTCCGCCCCCTCGTCAAAGCCAGGCGACAATGGATGATTTTCAATAAAAACAACATTTGCACAAAGCAAGCCGATCCACTTTTCCATGTTGATAAGAGTATTAAAATGAGAAAAAATAATGGGACAAAAAGAAATCAAGGGACATTTAGAATAGATAAAAATGTGCGATTAATTGCGAGTTAACTATGACATTAATGTGATTAATCGCAATTAAATATTTTAATCGTTGGACAGCACTAAAATCAACATAATCAACAACATCATCATCAACAACAACATCAAAATCAACAACAACATCAACGACATCAACAACATCAAAATCAACATAATCAACACTAGGGGTGGGCAAAAAATAATATCTCAATATTTTTTGGCGATAACGATAATCAGTCGATATCCTTTAAAATGTGATTGGAATTGTCTGAGTTCGGGCTTGTGTCCACCAAACGCGTTTTTAGCGCTGAGAGCTCAAAAACTAATTTTCCGAGTGCCCAGCGGTGTTAAAGGGGAATTTGGCAACTATTTCACCCTAATAAACCCGTTTAGAAATCATTGGATGGTTAAATGGCCTGTTCCAGTGAAAATGGTGACTTTCCCTGCTCCCCCTCGCGTCCCCAGGCGGAAAACCAACCTTG